TCTCTCTCTCTCTCTCTCTCTCTCTCTCTCTCTCTCTCTCTCTGTGTCTCTCTCTCTCTGTGTCTCTCTCTCTCTCTCTCTCTCTCTCTCTATCCATGGCTGTGTTTGCTTTCTCTGTTCGTTTCCTATCGAATTGCTGGCCCGCTAAACCATAGAGATTCCAGATTGAACGAAATGACCTGCAACAGCCCGCACCTGGCTCACGTTTTCACTGTCCAGAGTGGTCAAGCGACCCTTGACGCCGTTCGACGTAGATCAATCCATGTTTTCCTTGCCAAATCCTAGAGTCTCAGAAACACTTAAGAAGGTCTGGAATACTTAAGAAGGTCTCAAGGAAGCCGAAATGCTGAAAATCATGTACACCGTGCCGTGCATTCCACAGGTGTTACGGCAGCTCACCGCCGAAACCAGGCAGAAGCGCCACGATGCTGAGGATCGAGAGGCCTCCCTACGCGCCCGCCTAGCCGCCCTGGAACGCAGAGCTGAGGCGAGCGAGCGCGATTGCAGACATCAGAAGCTCTCCACCTGGAGAACGATTACGCGGGAGACGGAGCGGGCCGCGGCCCGCGAAAGGTGCTTTTCCCGGGACTTCCAGCAGCAGACCAACAGCTCATGGCTTGTACGGCCCTCGCTCACCCAACATGTCTTGGTCTCGCCTTCAGTAGCCCAGTCTTTTTGTGTCCAGGCACGGTCAGAACTACTATTCCAAATAAACACCGACCAGCAACGGACTCGTAGCCTCCCCAAGGTAACCCCCAGAGTCGGTTTCCCCGCGACACCTACAGTATGTGCCTCTCTTTGCCCCCCACCGTCTCGTGCTCGCCGAAAAGATATCGATTGGCAGCTTTTCTCCAGCGCTACGTTGTCGAAAATGAGTTCTTGCGGGCTTCAAAGGCGAAGGCGGAGGAGTCTGCGTCGGACCTGCGCGAGGCTCTGAGGCAGACGGAGGGGAAGCTTGTGAAAGCGCTGGCTGCCGCTCCCGCTCCCGTACGCGGCCCCGAGACCCTCATGTCTAACGCACGCAAGGCCACGTGGGCGATGGAAATGGCTAACGGGGGCGTGCAGGGCCAGGGGGGAGGCGCCGAAGCCGGCGGCGCTAGGAAGGGTCGACCCGACGGCGGCCCGCAAGCGCGAGGATGGGGAGGAGGAGGGGCAGGAGCACCAGAAGGGCAGGCCGCTGCAGCTAACAACCCGCCCGCACAGCCTACTACTGCGGTCCCTGCCGTTTCGCACGCGGAGATGGCCATCCGGCGGATGAAGGGCCAGGCAGGGGCGGCGCGCGAAAAGCGCTCCGACTTTTCTAGTGGTGGCGGCCGTGGCGATAACGGTAGTGAACTTAGTAGCTGGAGCGGTAGCAACTGGGGCCGGGGCGGGAAGAGCGCTCAGAGGGCGGCCACCGCGAGCGTGCGGGGAGAGCTGCGGTACACGAGGGGGCTCGTCGCCGAGCTGTCGTTCTTGCTGTCGGCCACCGAGAGCGAGCGCGACTCCCTCGCGTCTCTCGTGGTCCTGGCGGAGCAAAGGATGGAGCGCCTGGTCGTCAGCCAGGAGGAGCTGGCTCTCAAGCTGGCGTGGGGAAACATGTCCAGCATGGAGGAGCAGCACCACTACCAACAGCGCCGGTTCAAGCAGCAGCAGCAGAAGCAGCAGCAGCAGCAGTGCCTTCAGGTCGACGGCGAGGACGGAAGCTACGCGGGCGCTGTACGAGACCTTTCGGCCGCGACGGGCCAGCAGCCGAGGCAGATCGAGGCCTCGGCTACTCTCGTGTCGGAAGAGGGCAGCGACGGCCACGACGTCCACCGCTCCCCAGACGACGGGCACGAACCGGCGACGAATCCCGAGGGTGCACCGGCTACCGCAGCCACCTTCGAGAAGAGCAGGGAAGCTCTAGACAAGCTCGAGCTTGGGCGCAGGGTGCGCGAGCTCGAGGTTCTGCTGGAAGCTACGGAGGCCGGGGCGCGAGAGATCGAGCAAGAGAACCGACGGCTGCAAAGCTTTCACGGCCGGTCTCCGCGGCCGTGGCAGTCCTGGAACGGCGGCGAAGGCGTGGTCAGCTCAACGGCCGGCGACGATCCCTGCCGGCGGCACCACAGCGAAACCTCGAGGTCGAACGTGACAGCACCAGGATCGGGCCGAGACGGGAGCCCTCGCCTAGACGGCGGCGATGAAAGTGGCCGGGAGGCAGAGGAAACGAGCAGGACCGGTGCACGAAGCGGCCGGAGCAGCCGTGGACACGCGGGACACGGGCAGAATTCCGTGTCTCTGCCGATGTTGTCGGCGGCAGAGGTTGGTCGCGGCGGTGGTGAGAGCTCTGGCACACGGGCGGGATCAGAGGTGACACTGGTGGCACAGACGGCAGAAGGCGCAGGGTTTTCGTTTTCAGAGCCGACGGGCTGGGACTGGACCCGGGAGAACGATGCCACCTCTCGCCCTGAGGGTCGATGTCGACCCCGTCCACCGCCGTTTGCCACGCAGAGACGCGGGGATTGCTCTTGGGAGGAGCCCGGCAGCGGCAGCGGCAGCGAAGGCGGTGGCGGCGACGGCACAGAGGGCCGAGGAGAATTCAGCAACGGCGATGAAGCGGCCTCCCTCATCAAGGGGCAGCTAGCTTGGGTCCTGGGGTTGCCTGCCGAAACGACGGAAACCCAGCTCCTGGCCGAGGTCATGCACCTCGTGGTGGAGAGAGGCAGCGCCAACACCGACGCCGGCGTCTTGGAGGCCCAGCTCGGAAAGATGGACGAGCAGTCGCTGTTTCTCACTCGGCTCGCGGCCGCTACCATCACCTCGCACGGCGGGAGCGGCGGCCGCGATCGCGGGCACGCTGTTCTCGCAGTGGGCGGTGCTGGTGGGGTGCGGAGGCGCGGCGAGGGTCACCGAGGAAGCAGCGGTTGCGGTCTAAACCTCGCCGACGTCGGGTCCGGCTACTCGAGCAACGCCACTTTTCTCTCCTCCCTTTCTCACGCCGATGGCGGCGGCGGCGACGCGGGGGCAGTAAGAGGCGGCAGGCGTGCGACCCACCTGCCGACCGCAGGCAAAAAGCACGCGGACGGGGCCAACAGCACCACCAACGACGACACCAACCACGCCGTTGCCGCCCCGGCGACAGCAGCGGCAGCCCCTCCCAGGCAAAGAAGCACAGCGCCGGACAGGGGGGGGCGAGCAGGCCACAACGTGGATGCCTCCGCCTTGCAGCAGGGGCCGGCGGGGAGAGACGGCGTCGGAGGGCACGTTGCCGAAAGAAGAGACAGCCCGAAGGGTGTAGGGCCGGCGGCGCCTTCGGCAGGGGCGGCGGCGGTCGAGGAGGAGAAAGCGGTTGCTTCTTTGACCACCGCGGATGGGTCCGGCGGTGTCAGCAGCAGCGAGCCCTTGGACGAGAACACCGTCCGGACGACCTTTTCGAAGATCGCCCAGGGTAGAGTAATGTCGATAGACGTCTTCTGCTCCAAGGTATGTGGGATATTGATCACCCGCTTGGTTTTGTCTCTCTGTTCTTTTTTGAGGGTTGACAGACTCGTGGCGGGCAGCACCGACAAGTGCGGGTTCCACTACATGGACGCACCCGTCTCGAACACAAAGGGACGCGATGTTGTATTATTGAGCTTGTCGGGCCCAGCTGCTCCTGCCCTGTCCTCGCACTTCACTCGCAACTACGCGAATTTCCCTGATTGCGTAGCAAAGCGCTCGGTGAAAGAGACGAGTCAAAAATACATGAAAAACGTCATGGCCGATGAACACACGTTTGTTTCTGGTGCGACATCGTGTGACCCTCCACTACACTGCAGCTTGTGTACCGGCAACCAAGGAGCGAAAACGCATCCCCCGCACACCAAGCTTCGCTTGCGAGGATAGAAAACAATTCCAAGCGTTCTTGTGACTGGAGCGTTCAAACTAAACTCGCTGTGGCGAAGGAAATGCTGTATCGTGTCGCTGGTCGAAATTACAGTCGTGCCTACCAGCTCAGACGTTATTACAGCTCGCAGAACGGAAACCCCTTATGTTGTCTGTCCCACCAGTGTCACGATGCGTGAATCCATGGTACTTTTGAAAGCCATGTATGATTTCGTCGCCCCCCCCCGCTGCACCCCC